TGATAGGCGACCTCCAAACACACCTAAGTACATAGCAAGTTAGAAATGCAACTGTAGTTTGTTTGGTGTGGAGTGAGATGAATTTTTGGGCATCTTCATAAGGGAAATGAAATATCTGTTACCAACAGAGCTATAATCTGATTTCCCTGGCTTACGTCATTCACCATGGTTTGAAAGTAGTGCCAATAACATTTGCATAGAGTTACTGCAAGGCCTAAAGTAGTTGCTGCAAAACATAACAGAGGTTGCTGCAAGTAACCTCTGCCCAAGCAAATAAGCTGCATATTCACGTCACTGATGAGTTTCCCCTTGTTTGGCTTTGTTACTGTTTGTAAACTAGATCTTACAGCATTTGCTTCTTCTCTTGTTTGTACATTGTGTCTCTAAGATGAAGCTGATACTTTTAACTTGTTCCTGGTGGTGAGTGCCCTGCCTTTCTGTGTCCAACAATATCTTTCTCTCATTATTGTAAAAATAAAATCAAAGCTTCTTATTTTTTTTAAAAAAATCTGTTGCTGCTAGGAAGTTGAATGAGTTGTTTGTAGTCCAGAGTTTATAGGCACTTACTGCCGTTTTATAAGTTCTAAATCAGTGGCCACAAATTTGTTACAGCACCCGCCCTTGCTTACTTATCATGTGCTCCTTGCCTTTTACGGTAGTAAAAGTAGAGACTTCCACATGGGATAGGCAACTTCTTGCTAGCATTCATCTACTCTTATCTTCTTTACTTACTATGTTCAGGTTCTGACTCCTGTACAGAGATACAGGTGAATACTTAGTGTGCTGAAGGGGTTTGATGCTACTGCCATGTGATACAGAAAAATGCAAAATAAAAGGGCAAACACACCAGTGTGTGAATTGATAGATAATAGATAGCTGTGGTTAAGCTCACTACCCGCTGGATGTCACTATTGTTCCACAGAAATTCATCTAAGAGAATATTTATCTAGAGTTGAAAGGCTGACAACAAAGACCATTACCTTGCAGCAAACTGAAAATTTCTGGTTGTGTTTGTAGGAATATTGTACGTTTCTGCACATTTTGCAATTGCATTCTATATTAAGGGTCACTATTTCATAATAATACAAAAAAGAGCCTTGACAAACCTAAATTGTGATGACTGTGTAAGTGCGGATAGTGAAGAAATGAAAACCTACCAGCCAGTGGAGAAGCTGGCATTCATTATACTCGAGCCACTTGTTCTTTTTATTATTCTCTTACTCTGCAATTGCTGGAGGTAATCTCAACACACTGAATGAACATTACCAGTCATATTGAATTTGCTTAGCACATTAGTTGTTTTCTTTTTCCAAAGACGTGCATTCTGTGTAGTTTAGTATTAATATTGCAGGAGCTAGGTAGTTTAGTTGAGAGGCCAAATAGTCTGCTGGCTAGTCTTGGTGTGAGGAAACTGGATTATATTCCCAATACTCAACTGATGAGTGCGATCTCGAGCAAATTACCTCAAATCTGGCATGTTATTTGCCATCTCCTGTCTGTCTTCTCAACATCTCTTGTAAAAGCTTAATGTAAGAAATTGTTGGAAAGTGGATAAAATCCTGACTTCTTTTAAGATTTTTGGGGTGCTACAGTAAAATAAAAGTCTTGTTTGGTGATTCCAGCTAGCATTTGTTTCAATATTGTTTAAGTAACTGTAGACTGCAAAATGAATGCAAATGAAGGTGAGGGTGGAAGAGTACTGCCCTTTGTCGGTGGCTTGAAAAGCCTCATCTTCCACTGGTAGCCCCAGAATGCCATATATGACTTGGGAAAAGGAATAGACATTGAATTAAAAAAACAAAACAAAACCAAAGCAAAACACAAAAACCACAACAAAACAAACACCAGACACCTTCAAAACGCAGTTGCTTTCCTGAAATTGGAATATGTGGACAGCACCCTGCTAAGGGAGAGCCATTAGAGGAGCTCCATCACCTCTGCCTTAAGGTGGTGCCTAAAATGCAGGTATGAGGATGGAGAGGTCTGTCAGAGCCAGCCCAGCTGCTGCACAGCCTCTGGTGAGGATTCCTCTCCCTCACCCCAGCAAGGGTCTAATAGTTTTGTGAGAGGCTGGCACCAAACTGCTCCAAACCCAAGACGAAGTGGGGTCGGAATTCTTAGATACCTGCTGCCAGGCTGGGAGCAAAGGAGAAATGTCTCCTGTGGAATCTTGGAGGCCTTAACATTTCATGTGTATTCAGGAAAGGGGGCAGCCTTTCCCAGGGACTCAGCTAAGACCTGGTCATTTCCCACAAGATGATTAAAATTCATGATTCTGGTGGCCTAGCCACCCAAAACAAGTCACTTGCAGGGTTCAGTTGGACAGAGCAAGACTAAGTTTAGCTTAGTCAGTGTAATCTTTGCATGAAGACAGCATGGGGTTTGTAGCCTGCTTTCGTGCTGTGAAGCCAGTTTAAAATGTTTTCTAAGCCAAAGCCTCTAGAGCAGAATTTAGCAACTTGCCTTGCAGGCCTCACGTTCTGTGAGAGGGTTCGAAAAGCTACACCAGGCATCTTCTTTTGTATAACCAGGCAGTGATTTTGTTATCAGTGACCATAGCAGCAATCACACATTTATCTGTGTTTGGTATGTGTCTGGGAATTCACCAAAAGTGAATCTGTAGATTTTCAGGCAATAAATTAATTGCTTGATCTAAGCATGCCTGTGCTTGACTGCAGACATGCTGGATTTTCATTAAGATTTTTGTTTATCCATCTATGATTAATCACATACTGGCTTTATTTTCTTTTTTCACACCTGTAATTAAATATTTTTCAAAGGGAGCTAGGGATAATTTTACAGGTATTGCTTTCTGTAGCAGGCTATGGATTGATTCTATCTGAGTATCATTATGGTTAGAACCAGGCATTAAAGAAATGTAGAGAAGCATATAAAGTCAAACTCGGTTATATACAACTCACTCACAATCACAGTCCAAAAAGCTTTAGAAAACATATTGAATATTTTCAAATAGCAAAAATTCAAAATTGATAATATGAAATATCTTCTGATTGCAGTCAGCACTCCCAAAAACAAAAAGCAAAATTTTCTTCGTGTGTTTATATACATGCAGATGCATGTATATATGTGTATATATGAACATATGTATGTTTGGGCCAAATCTTTCTTGTTTTGGCTGTGCCTAATACTGGTCACCACCGCAGACATGAAAGCTTGTAGAGGTACAGAGCCAGTTCCTAAGAGGAAGTTTGTGGCAAAGTCTGATCCTTTAGTACAGAGATAACCAAGACCTGCTGGTAGAAGACTGAATCTCGCAATAGCTAAGATAATTCAACGTGTATTGACTTTTTAGTAGCAACTTTCAAGGTACAACTCAGGTTAAAAATCACAGTCTGCTCAGTGCGGCTGAAATGTCTCAGGCATTTGCATTATTCATTGTGTGGGATGCTCTGTGTGCTGAGTGAAATGGGGTCTCAGTGTTGCAGGGCTCAGTACAGTCTCAAGCTCCTACTCTCGGATATTTCCTCACTACGGTCCTTGAAAATGAGAATGGTTTCATTATATGAAAAAAAAAAAAGGAAAGCAAACCAAACCCCTTTTAAAGGTATTAGTTCTTTTTAAGAGATGCTTTCTAGCTTTTTTTTTCATTGTATCTAGCATATTTCAAGGTGATTGGCTGTGATTAGATATTTTCCAGTAAAAATTGAGGAGAATATTCTGCTAAGGTTTTGCTTTTTTAAGCTGCTGCAGTGAAACTGCTTTGTAGAAACATTCCCTCTTAGGTGATCAAAGATGTGCAGTTTACTAAGCCAAATCAAGTTACAGAAGAGAGATAATTAAATTAATTACTTGCTTCTATATAGGTGCTGCTGTATTATTTCAAGAATGACTTTCCCTTCCTGATAATCAAAATAGGAGGTATGATTTATTTGGAAATATGAGGGATGTTATATTCTTCTGCAGCCAACAAAAATAACAGTACTTTGGAGAGGGAGAGCAATGAGCAGCTGGGCTACAAATTTCTATTTTGTCCAGAACTACTGCTGTAAGACTACACATTAAAAATGAGTATCTGTGAATGCTTGTAATGTCGTTCGGGTTTTCCTAAGAGAGAAAATAATTTGTCACATTTCTTTAAAGATTTTTGGGTGCATCCTTCTCAGATCAGTGAGTATCCAATTTTCTCTGAAAGCTCTTTGCAGTTGTATTTCTAAAATGTACACTGTTTGGCTTTGTAGGTAATGAAGCTTTGTTTACTTATTAGAGGGACAGTGTGGAAAACACATCATAAAACCCTAACAAGCCTAGCCCAGCAAATAAAAAGCAATAGAAGAAAATGAGAGATTTAATGGTTTCCTCAGCTACATTAATGTCTTTGACAGTCTTGAAAAGAGAATTTCTAATGAGCGCTGAAACAAATGTGTGCAGGAAGTGATCTTGCTTTTGCTGCTGCACATTTGAGTTCCTCTAATTGCATCAATAAGGAATTTCTGCTCCTCGTCTAATGAATGCCTTTTGACTTCTTTCTGAAAGGCAACTGGATGTAAGGGATAAACACTGGCACCTTTTGTATGAAGTCACATAAACAGGTTTTAATTAATAGTTATCAGCCCTAGAAATACTGTATTATAGTGCAGTACGGCAAATCCTATTGTCCCTTTTTATTTTTAAATTTTTATGAAGCCTAGATTTCCCTCTGCTTTGCTTTTGGTGTGATACCTCATGTCCTAAGACAGTGCTTTAACTCCTCACTGGCTTTTTATTTTATCTTGTGTTGGGCAGAAATCAGGCATTCTTTCAGAGCTGTTCTTGCACCATCTCTCTCCTCAGACAAATCAGAATTCATGATGCTACAGTACCTGGGTCTTTGGTTTACTCATGGCTAAAAATTGAGTTTCAGAGCTTGGGGTTAGGGGAGTAAAGTGAGGTGCAGGGGGGAACCGAGTTTGATTCCCCCCCCCTCATTGTTGTCATTTTTCTCCCTAAACAGAGGCACAGTCGCTGCAGGTGCGGTGGATTACTTATGAAAGAAGTTTTCTATTTAAAACCAAGAGAGACTTTAATGACATCAGTAGAGGGTTTGTACAATAGGTATTGTATTAAACCAGAACTCAGGCTTCACATTGATTGTGGTATTTAAATTTCAATGAGTTGATTATGTATGGGAGTAAAATGACCAGTATTATGAATGTACAAAAAAGAGACATGGAAGAGCTGTGCCAGAAAAGTGAGAAAAACGTTCCCTTTATAGTCCCTAGAGTTCAATAAAGCACCACTATTTCCCAGCTTTTAAAAGCTCTTTTATCACAATGGTTCATACCTCGCATTCCCTGGAGCCTGATTTGTTATATGTGCAGGGTCCCGTTCCATTCAGCAGCATCTCGCTGGTTTCAGTGTTGGTGGGTTTGTAATCTACGTAAAATTCCTGTGTGCTTGGAGTCATCTGCTTCAGCGACTGTCTCTTCTTTTTCCTGTGCCTCCGCATGAGCGAGCGCTGCTGCAGCTGCTTCATGCTGGCTGGGTAACGCTTCCACGACACGTAGATCACCAGCAGGATCACAAGCACAGACAAGAAAAGGGCCACGCTGCCTGCTATGATTTTGTGGAAGGAGATGTGCTCCGTGTCGTGCTCGGGCTCAGAGCTCGGCTCAGCGGCTCCGACAGTTGGGGGCAGAGGGGCCTTGCTGTCGTGTTTAGGCCTGGAGAGTTTTGGTTTAAACGTTGGCTTTGGGAGAGCTCGTGCCAATTCAAACCTCTCCGTGGTACTTTTGCCACAGATGCTGTAGTTTTTCACTGCGTCAATAACGTTCACCCCTTGCAGCTCTTTGGGGCTTGCACAGATAATTGTATTTTCCCTCAGCCCTTTAAAACTTTTAAGCCAGTTTACCAGAGAGCAAATGTTTCTGCTGCATTCCCATATATTCCCGGCAAGGCTGATGTCATTGAGGGATATCCAAGAATCCAAAATTTCCTGACCAATAAATGTGAGCTTGTTTGAATCCAGGTTGAGGCGCTGTAAATTGGGCACGCACTGAAAAACACTAGGTCCACTGAAAGCTTCTATTTCATTGCCAGATAAATCAAGTCTTTGTAATGAGCTCCAGGTCCAGGACATAGTCTGTCCTATCACACTGATTTTATTCCACTGTAAATAAAGGTTTTGGAGGCTGACTAGCCTTGGAAAAAGTGCCAGGTTGAGCTTAGAAAATTGATTGTGCTCCAGATGAAGCTCTTTCAGTCTGATCATGCCTGCAAAGACATTCCTTGCTAAACTTCGGATGCGATTATAACCCAGGTCCAACAGTTCAAGGTTCCTACAATCTTGAAATATTCGGACAGGGATGGTTCTTAGGGAATTGGACCGCAAATGTAAACTCAGCAGCTTCCTTAAGCCCCTGAACTGTTCAGATCCCAGAGACTGCAGCTGATTGTATGACAGATCCAAATTCCGGAGATTTGTCACAGGTCTGAAGGTATTATTAAGAAAATAGGAGATTCTGTTGGAACTCAAGATCAACTCTTTTAGTCTGCGTATTCCACTGAAAGCATTTTCGTCAATATTGCTGATGTGGTTATGGTCTAAATAGAGCCAGGTGAGTTGATTAAGACCTTTAAATTGATTGTATTTTAGTTTTTGGAGGCTGTTATATCGAAGGGACAAACCTAAACAACCAGCAGATATACTTGAGGGAATCTCCTGCAATTTCTGAGATTCACAATATACCATTTTGCCTTCACACCTACAGCCCTTAGGGCATCCTCGTTCAGCAGAAGCAAGCATTGTCAGTAATACAGTAGGGGCTATTACCAGAGCTACAGCTGATCCGCTCAGTAGCCTAATTACATTGAAACCTGGAAATAAAAACAACTTAGAAAAGTTATCCCCCCACACATCAGTCATTTCTTTCAATCATGCTAAAATCTTTAATTTCAACAGTCATTTAAAAATCCCTAGCTCGACTCAACTACTTTTCACATTGTTTTCTTTACTCAGATTATTTTTATTTTTTTTTAAGAATACCTTTACATAAATACTGAAAAACAGTTGGGTAAAAGGTGTAATCCCTGAGCAATTTAACTGTAATAACAGGTCACATCAAGGTAAGTCTAGGGAGTAATTAAAGCACAGGCTATGCAGTGGCTATGAACTATACATTAAAAAAATAACATGAAAAACATACCCATCCTTTGTGTTGTTCAAAGGTCGTCCTTAGGTCTTTTGTTTTTTGCTTAGTGTGCCACAAGCATGGCAGCCCCTGTCAGCTGTACTGTAGTGAGTCAGGGCTCGCTGACACCCAGGAAGAAAAATTGGACCCCTTGGGAGATGGACCGATTTCGGAACATTATTCTTTGCCAGCCATGCAGAACACTCCAAGAATAAATCAATCCTGACACAGCGTTCGCAGCAAAATGTCAAATTCTTCCTAGGTAATAGGATCTTCATGGATATTAGGTTTTTGCATCTTTATAGTTAGGAACCTGGCTTTTAAAATTTCTGCTTATAGGAAAGCATGTTCGATTCCTCCAAGCACCGTTTAGCTATCTGAATTCACACATCTGTATTCCATAGCACAGCAGCTCCCTCCCTCAGTGCCCGGTCCGGCTGGGAAGCTGCTTTGTAGCACAGAAGGCAGCATAAGCCCGCGCAAGGACCAGGCGCTGCTCACTTCTGCAGACTGTCATTCCGAGGGCTCCGTCCGACTGTTGCTTTGGTTTCGGCGAATGCGGTCTTATGTAAAGCTGCCCCCAGCGGTGGAGGATATTACGGGCATGTGCAGAAATGTCTTCCTTTTATCTTGCAAATGAGTAAGCTCTGCTGGGAAAAGAGTGACTGTTCGGAGTGACTAATAGGCGCGGAGTGGTCAGCCTCGATGTAAACTAGCGAGGTGTGCTGAAACATCCAAATCCTCGCCGTCTCTTGCTGTTTGGGAAAGCTGGCTTTGCAACCTTGAACTCAACAGCTCAGCAGGCGCTGCTGAGACTTTTGTCTGAAGGGCTGACATGGCATTTGTAGGACATAGATACAAATTTTTGGTCCTAAGGGCTCGGGGTTTTGTTTTGTTTCTTACTGCACTAGACATGTGTCCACGTGACCTTTTCACAGTAACTCATTATTTTTTAGTGAAGTATCAGCCCCTTCAGTGTGTCTCTTACCAAGCATTTCAGCAGGGACACTATATTTTACAACATGAAAAATGTTTTGGAGCTGACATTTTGCCTTTTTTGCTTTTTTCTTTGCTGTTAAATGGCACAGTGCCAGTAGGTTAGAAGAGAGTATTGTGCTCATTTATTTCCCAGCTTGCTGTCACTTCGTTCCACAACACTAACACTTCAAACACAGGCTTCCGTAACCCTTGCAATATAGGGACGAAGCAGCTTGGTGTGGTGCCTTAATCAGATGAATTGTTTTTTCTGTAACTTATCCCATGGGCAGGATTTTATGTGGAGGTACAATATGCAGAGGTTTTCTACATGTGTGAGCCAGGGTGGTCCTTATATATCACGTATGGAGCCTTTTTCTCTTTCCTTACTCTTCTTTCCAGCATGCTGTAGAGAAAGGACACATGCTCTTACCTGGGCAGAGCAAAGGTAAGGTGGCATTCCGGCAAATGTACCATGCTGATGGTCTTCCACCACTATGAAATATGTGATCAGAGATGACGGTGGGGAGGTGTGAAACCATGGCTCTTTGTCGCACAAGATCAGGCCAGAGCCTGAAGTGTGCTGCTTGTTAAAAGAGGAATACGGATGACAGACCCCCAAATGCAACTATAGACGGCTCTGAGAACTGCTTTTCCTTTTGAAGCAGAATCCTTACTCCTTGCAATAATGTGCTTTGACTTTTCCCTTATTATTCACTGCTGTGAGCAAAGGAGAACATATAAATAAGGTGAAACCAGAATTTCTCCACATATTAAAATGCCAGCATTGCATAGGACTTAGTTTGTGAATGACTTCAGGCTTAGAGAATCTCACTAGTATTAACACACCTATCTGTAGTGCCTACATTAGTAGCACACTCGCCCCTAGCTAACAACTATGCACATCTTTCATGTCAGGCATCAGAAATGCATACTTGCATCAAGGCACGTCCTGTGAAAATTCTCCCCTTTGGGTCAGATTTGTGGAGAGGGAAAGGGTTAATTCCTTCATTCATCTTTCACTGTCACCGTCTCTCATTCTCTACTACAGCTTCTTTCTGGCTCTTAAATCCGAGCGGTAGGCTCGAGGAGCCAGCAACAGACTGCAGCCTGGCTGGGCACAGGGACAGTCTGCGCAGCCGTTCTGCTGACGGGAGTGTCACGTGCCAGTTATGGGGTTTCCATCACTGCCTTGGGCTCTCTCTGTACTTGATGGAGCAGGACTGGCAGCTCCAGAAGACAGTTCAGCCCTTCGGGTAAGCCAGTTCACCTCTTGGAACTGCAGCTCATCTGCTGTTGATGCTAGAAGATGCCCGTGACAAGTAAACTCTTTACTGAAATGACTCAGTTAGGTTCCTCAACTTAAATGCCATGGAATTCAGTTTGAATCTCTACCTGGCTCAACCACAGCATGTAAAGCCTCAGATAACATCCCAATTCTTTCTCCTGGAGAGCTGGTGCTACTTAGTGTGCCAGCTCAGCCTGAGCCTTCTGCCCAAACCTGGCCTGTTCTCTGGCTTTTCCTCTTTTGTCTTCTTTCCCTCCTCCATCTTCATTGTGGAGTTAACAAGGAACTTCTCTGCCACCATGAGTCAGCAGAGCTTCCGTAGCTTCTCCAGGGTTTTATGAATTGCCAATATACTGGACAACTAAGGCAGAACAGCCGCTCTTTTACCATGAGTTATTTTCGTTTTTCTGAAAGGGGTGAGACATCAAGAGATGAACAGAGAGAGCATCAAATCTATGTTAATGGATTGCCAAATTCAATTTTCTTTACTGAGATCCTTTTTGAATTACACAAGCAGGAAAAGTGCCAGTGTCTGATAAACAGTTTTTTAAAATTACATTTCTGTATCTTCATACAGCTGAATGGGTTCTTTTCAAATTGTGGAAATAAAACTGCACCCAGTATGAAATACGAAATTTCAGACCAGTCTGACCATATTACAAACTGTGAAAAACAGAGAATTAAGTTAAAGCTGCGTTTTAGATAAGAAGGTACCTTTTATGTTTAAACCTTTGCTTTGTGTCTACTACACTTTTTATATAACACTGTTGCGTTACCATTTAACTCTCATAACCAGGAAAGAAAACTCAAGGCCAAACTGGTTAACTTTTCTTATGAATAGGCGAGATTGATTATAGCTAATACCACCACTTCTGAATGTCTAAAATCCCTGGGTTTGCTGAAGGCTTGGTGTGGACTTAACGTGCTCTGTGTGAGTTCCTGTGTCGTTCATTCTACGTGATAGCTGCCGTAGCCAAGGGCCGTTTTAAGTTCTGCTCTCCTTGCCATCCCTAGGGAGCCTTGCCTCCTGTCCTGCAACAGCCGTTCCCAGTCAGAAACAGGTTACAAACTGTAAGTGACCTAAGTCTCAGTGACTTCATGCCCACTGAATATTAGTGCTGAGCAACAACATTAATTCTTCTCTTTCTGTCTGTGAAGACAGCATTACATGCAGTTCTGCAAAGACAGATGCTCTTAAGATAAGTATTTCGCTTGTTCGTGTACTCTTGCACACAGTCTGTGTTTTGGGATTTCAACCTTAGACATAAATTGAGATGCCATAGAACCTGGGAAGCTTATTCCTTTTGAGTTGTGTGTCTCCATGATCACACCAATTTGGTTTGGGGGCTTTTTCTCAGGGGGAAAATGGCATACATCAGAAAATACATTGACAAATGCATTGCTAAATATGTCTTAACATTCATACACATGAAAAGCGATGTGTTGGATGGCACCTGTGATGAACACATTGTTTTCTTCATCAGCATGGCAAATTAAATTCACGGTTGTTTGGAAGTTATGCACTATCTCAGGGTAGTGATGGCCCATGTTTTTCTCTTGGTACTAAACTTTCAATAGATTTTCTGCCTGGAAATTGTTCTAGATGGATTTCACTACTATGTGGGTTTGCAGTAATTTGATTTGATTTAATTTTGTGTTTGATTTTTGGCTTTGCTTATGTAGTTAAAATCTAGAATATTTTATTTTTCTATTCATTCTGACTGTGGTCTCTGTATCTAGCTGCAACTTCCCTATGGAAAGCTAAACACAAACTGCAACCAACATAATAAAGGATGAATCAAAAGATGACATTCACTGTGAAACCTTGTTCCCCTCCCTGAGCTTGTTTGGAATTGAAATATTTTGCAGAGGCAAGGGGAAACAGCAAATCTTACAATTTTTTGGGGTTATGAGAAAGGCCCCTGTAATGACCTGGTGCATCTTTTGGCTTAGTAAATTTGAAAAGGGGGATGACAGAATTATCAGGCTTAAGTAGAATGAGGATGGAGGAATGTGGGGTAGAGATGTAAACTTCCCAGAGCTTATGGAGCCAGCAGTTACCAGGTGCTAGTGGCATCAGCACTCAAAAGCTTTCCCTTGTTTTGTCACTTGCTTCTCATCAGCCTTCCTCAGGACATTTCATGCTTACTCTTGTTTTATGATGTTGTTAGAGGAAAAGAAATAGTATAAAAAAAGTTTCTATTTCTGTTACTCCCATAAGAAATCCATTCAGAAAAGCAGTATGATCCTTTCTAGCCACAGTGCGTTATGTTCTTAATGCACAAACTTCAGAATTTAGGCTTCTGGGTATGGCATTTTTCAGTTCATAGATAGAGCTCCTGGGTCTAGGAGTGCTTTTATGTGTGTAATGGCATGTCCCTTTGGGGAACCGTAGTTACCAAGTGCTGCACTGTGTTCTTTTTGGGTCTGTGAAGTGACAATGTACGTCGTTCTTTATTTCGCTATAAAGAAACTAGGAGTCAGCTGGTTTAGCAACAGTAGCTTGTTCTAAATGGTACTGTAGTGTTCTATCACTGTATCATTAAGAGTAGATAAGTCTAATAAAATGTGTTTGCGGTTATTGAGCCAGTGATTAAATGAACCTGCTGTTCCACAGATCAGATTAGAGCTGGGGGCGGGGTAGAACTCCCAGCATAAATAGCAGGGTGTGGGAAGGTGGAGGGAAACTCAGGACGCAGGGTTTGCCAAAGGCTGGCGTAAGGGAAGTGTGGGAAAGCCGGGTTCAGGGCCCATGCAGGCAAGAAATGGAGCCAACAGAAACACTCTGCAGAAACAGGAAAAGAAGACTGTGAGGGTAGGGAGAGTCTTAGCCTAGCAGATTGTCAGTACTGACCTGAAGAACCATGGCGCTAAGAGGTAGATGGGGGAGGTGGATAAATGAGGCTATTCCCCTGCTCTCCTGCTAGGCACAATTAGCTTTGGAAGGCCTCCCCTGGCCTCTGTGCGGGGTGAAATGATCCCATGTTACAAATTCTGTGATAAGCTGGAGGAAGATTCAAAGC